CGGAGCCGGGATCAGCCTGGGGAAAGAGGCACCCGCTTGGCACCCTGCTGACGCGGCCCTTCCTCTGGGCCACCTCCGACCTTCCTGGCGGCAGTGACAGAGTGCTTGCTCCACGCGGGAGTCAGCTGCCTGCAGGTCTCGCCTCTGCCTCTTTCAGCCCTGGGTTCTTTCCCAGCCCTTCCTCTTCAGCTGCGTCTGCCGGCTCTCCCCATAACGGTGTGGGCACGTGTAACCGACTCCCCATAACAGTGTGGGCACGTGTAACCGACCTGCCGCAGACGCCAGCCAGCGGAAGTGAGTGGGCCCATCTCCGCTCCGGCACCAGGAGCCCTGCCTCTGCTCCCCATGAGTGCTCTGGGCCACACGACCTTGGGACTCTCCCTGCCTGTCCACCCGAGTGCCCCGGGCCTCAGCGACAGCTAAGCGCGCCTCCTCCCAGCGTGTGGGTGATGAGAAGGGCAGGTTCGGTGTGCAGGCCGGCGGAGGGCCTCACCATGACCTCTCGTTCTGTTTCCATTTCCTCCGTTGATCCAGTCCAGCCTGTGGGGCTCCCCACACCCCAACTCCATGACCATGGGCTTGCTGTCCCTCCGAGCACACCTGCGATGTGGGCTCAGCCCTGGTCACACGGCCACGAGCCTTTCCTTAAATGGTGCGTCGCAGCCCCTGTGCCCACAGGGCTGCCTGCTGGGAGCCAGGTACACCAGAGCCACCCAGAGCCACCCTGCCTCACCGGCTCGGATCTGACCCTGTGAGAGGAGGGGCCCTGTTCTCAGTGACTGCACGCTGGCCCCTGTGACCACTGTGTCCTCGTCCAGGGGCTCACAACTCTGCTTCTGACTCCAGAGACAAACCCTGGGCCACCAGGTGAGCTGCCCACTCCAGCCTTTGGGCAGAGAAGGAGGGCGGGTCTGCCACTGCTGGCCCCACTGCCCGGCCCTCTGGGGCGCTCAGAGCGCACGGCCTGTCCTGCAGTCTGTCAGGGAGACCTCGGCCCTGCAGAGGGCCTTGGGCCAGTCCTCTCGCCCTCCTGGCTTTTTGCCATGCAGAGTTGTCAGGGGAAGACGGGGCTCTGTGTCACCCCCCTGGTCACCCCAAATGGCCAGCCTGGCCCTCTGTGCCCTTCTGCTTACAAAGAGAGCCTGGCCTGAGGTCCTTGGTTCTGGGCCACCGCTGGGCCCTCAGGCAGTCACACGGGCTCCCTGAGAGGCCCCCTTCCTCATGCACGTGCACTCCCGCGTCAGGCCTCCAGAGACCTGACTCTCAGGCTCTGAGTAGGAGGGAACGTCAGCTCCTGCACCCCCTTATTTGACAGCTAGCACACCAAGCCCAGACAGGGGAAGGGACCTGCCCGAGGTCTTAGGGCAAGTCCGCCACAGCTTTGTCTGAAGACAGGGACGTTGAACAAGCCCTGTCACCCTCCCATCTTGTGAATGGCCTACTGGCCCCTACTTGGGGAGAGAGAAGCATAACGGCAGCTCCTGGGGTTACCTGTCTCCCCTTGGGCCTCACAGCCCCAGCTCCAGCCCAGTCTTGGCTCCCTCATGCTGCCCTAGGCCAGGGACCAGCTCAGAACGCCACACGAAGACCGCAGACTGTCAAAGCCGGGATAGAAAGCCCTCGGGTCAGAAGCGGCCTTTTGGCCACGTGGGCAGCCTCGTCACCCCAGGCTTCCCTGGACCCTGACACCCACTCGGCTTAGCCCTGGTCTGGGTATAAGGCACTGAGGGATGGCCTGGGGCCTGCCCTCGAGGGCTCCTCTCCTAGGAGAGGCAGACGCCCTCCCTCGTTGCTCCATCCAGGTGCAGTCAGGGACCCATTTCTCAGATGAGCAGCCCGAGGCCCAAGAGGGGGGCCCCAGCGGAAGAGTTCCAGGCCCAGCAGGCTTCTGGTGTAGGCAAGCTGAGAGGAGCACAGGCCCCACCCTGTGGTGAAGGCCATCGTGCTGGGGCCTGGAGGGAGTCCAGGGGGAGAGAGCTGGCCGGTCTCTGGGAGGAGCAGAGAGTGAGACAGGAACAAGGGGGTGTGTCTTGGAGAAAAGCCAGTTCCACTTCTCCGCTGGGTAGGGGAGGTCAAGGCTCAGGTAACAGTCAGGGCAGAAGGAGGGCGGAGGCCAGTTCCTGCCCCAGTCCGAGCTCGGAGCCTCGTCTCTGCTCCGTGGAGCCGCCCAGGTCCTCTGCCTTCCCATGAGACTCATAGGGAGGCCACCACACAGAGGGATACTGTCATTGCCAGGGTCAGACCAAGGGGGCCGCAGAAGGGTCAAGACAAGGAGGCTGGCATCCTGGGAGGCTTCTTGGAGGGGGAGGCAATGTATCCTGGCCACTGCACCACCCAGACGTGTAGGGCACAAAGGATTGAGCCCCAGCATGAGGCAGGGAAGCTCAGCAGCCCTGGTGGGGGGGCCGCCTCACTCACCCATTCAGTGCCCCTGTCACGGGGTGCACAGGGAGCCCGGGGGAGGGAGGGTTGGCTGATGACAGCAGCCTGGCCCCATCCACCTGCAGCCCTGGTGCTGACATGGCCCCGGGGGGCTGGGGCTCCACACTCACACGCGTGCACCTGCATTCACACCGGACCACACGGAGGCTCACAGCCCCGTGCTCGCAGCATGCACTGGGGCCCAGGGAGCAGGAAGGCCCCTCCACCACCTGGCCCTCGGGGGCTGCCCTTCCCTGCAATACCCCTGTCTGCAGGTGCCCTGTCTCGCACCTGGGGCCCAGCCCAGCCAGGCGAGGGGACCGCCACCGGTCATTCCTATCTCCCTTGTACAGACTCACTGCCCACCCGCCATCCCCAGACACATTTATTTAATAACTTGTCATTGTTAAATTATTTATTAGCGTTTACCACATCGCCACCCCACCCGCCCTCCACTCACCTCTGCCTCTTCCCACAACAGCAGAGAATGGAAACAGCTACGACAGAAGACGGGACAGCAGTATATTTGTAAATAAACCGATCTGTACACGCCTGCCGTGCCTCTCCTTGGGGCTGGGGGCGGGGGTTCTGGGCCAGGGCCAGTCCTGGGGGTGGGGAGTGCAATCTTGGCCTGGCCAGTCCTGCCTGAGGCATTAGCAGATTTCCTGATGGCCACCAGGGGGCAGGTCCCTGGCCTTGCCCGACCCACCCATAATCCTATCCCCTCCCATCCTGGTCCCATCTCAACCCAAAGCATCGTTTCCAGTCTTCACACAAGTGTGTCCATCCCATCTCTGCTTCACTCGCTCCCATCCCCAAGCCACCCAGGACTTGTGAGGGGCCCCAGAAATGCCCCACCAGGCTGAGAAGGGGGGATCCATGGTCCCTCCTCAAGGAGGTAGACAGCTTGGTGTGAGCTCAGGTACAATGAAGTCTTGTCACAGGGTTATCTAATCTGCAGGGGCAGAGCATCATGGAAGGCTTCCTGGAAGAAGCTATGTGTAAAGCTGAGTGCTGAAGTTACCAGCATGATGAGAACTGAATGTGGGGAGGGGTGTCTGGGAATGTTCCTGGCTTGTATGACACCTCAGGGGCAGGCAGAACCTCGAGACTGTCCTACGCTGCGCGGAGAGCCCAGTTTGGGGCACAGGGTGAGACCAAGACAGGGTCCAGTCACCCCGAGTCTTGCCAGACAGTGGAGAGCAGACGGATGGAGGCAGAGCGGTCAGCTGGGTCGCCTAGGCGAGAGGGGCATGGCTCTGACTAGGGGCCTCAGTGGAGAGAAGACGGGGACGGACAGCAGAAACACTGCTCGGAGGGGTGTCAGAGCAACACCCAGGCCCCGTTCTGCTGCGGTGGGGGCGTGGGGGAGGGGAGCTGGTCTCTGGGGCTCCGATGCCCTGGGTCAGGCGCCAAGCACCCAGGCCTGCAGCGACTAGGTGGACGGTCACTGAGCTCACGTGGGTGTGGGACCCTGGGGGAATGAAGAAGCTGAGGCTGAACCCCTGAGGAAACGTGAGGCTGAGGGACTGGACGTGACCGTGAGATCTAGGGGGGCGGTGGCAGGGATGGGGTGGGTGAGGATGGCAGGGTTGGAAGGAAGGAATGTGGTTTCGAAATGTGTCCTCTGAGTACCCCAGACTCAGCATGTGTGCGCGTGTGCACACATGTGAATGTGCATGTACGGGACACGTGTGTGCTGTGTCTACGGACGGAGCTTGGGGGTCGGGCCTCTTTGCATGCTGTATGTGAAGCTGGGCGCCTGCAGGTATGGGTGTCCCGTGAACAGCCGTGTCCCCAGCAAGGCCATGCGATCCGCAGGCGCAGCTGGTCCCTGTGCGATGCCCGTCCCACAGCTGCTGTCACTGTGGGTCTCTGTGCGTCGGGACATCCGGGGCTTCTGGCCGCATGTCGGCAGACCGACGCCCTAATGTTCTGTCCCTTGGCCCCCTGGTTGCGCCTGTCTTCTCTCCTCAGTCCTGTCTGTGGCAAGGATGGCAAAGGCCACCTTCGCGCCTCTCCCTCAGCCGTGGGCACCGGCGCCCCCTAGAGGCAGGCCCCGCCCTGCACCTCTTCTGGGCTCAGTGCTCAGACCCTGGGAGTGGAGCGGTGGGTGTCTTAACCAAGTCTAGATGTGTTGAGGACCTGCACCTGTTTCCTCTTTTGCACCCCCCAAACCTTGAGAATCAAGTCCTCACGTTACAGAAGAGAAAAGCCAAGGACTGGGAAGAGGAAGTGACTGGCTCGATAAAATAAGCCTCGCAGAGGTAGCAGAACCAGGATTCGAAACCGTATTCGGCTGCAAACCCGGCGCCTTGCCAGCACCCCAGGCTGCCTCCCGAGCTCACACTCCCTGGTCCTGCGGTCTAGTCCTCCCAGGTCAGACCCAGGACCCGGAACAAAAAACTTCTACTTTCAGGGGGCTTTGCTGAGGCCCAGAGAAATGAAGC